ATGGCTGACACCTCTTCATTTTTTCGTATAATATCATAGCTTGCTCTATTCACCATGTAGATGTCTACTTGGTTTTATTTTATTCCTCTTTTAAGACCTTGGCCTCATGCTCATTCAGAATTAAATGTGCTAATGTATAGTTAAGAATCTTTGTTTTTCCTGCAAGATTAAATAGAGATGTCAGCCTAGTTTCTCTTTTCATTCACTTTTCAGTTGTGTACATCTAGTCCCTTTTAACAATCTGTTCTCAAATATTTATTTTATCATCCCAGTTCTCAATCTGTTATTTTTTTTTATCACGCATCTCTGAACCTCTCTTTTATTTACTCACAAAGTAGCACTCCTCTTTGCTTTAGATGGCATGAACCATTCAAGTCTGAGCTAGTCACTATGCTGTCTTTATAGCCAGTGGAAGAACTTCCAGAAGGCAACCCATGCATGCCCTTGTTTTAGATGTCTGAGACGATATTAATCGCTTTCCTGAGCAGTAGTTTGCCTTGACTATAAGGGAGCTTAGGGTGACTTTGGCAAACTTCGTGATGCTTAAAGTAAGTAAAGTGAATCCCAACCATATATTCTCAACTGAAAAGGGCATTGCAAGCTACTGAATGGCTACTGACATTTTTTTTTTAAATGTGTATTTCCTTTAGACTGCTCTGTTTGCACACTAATGCTGTTCTTTTCTCTGAGCTCTGCTGAAAAGTGACCATGGGATTTTACAGAATTCTTTTAGATTCCTACATTATGTATGATTTCAACTACTCCCTCTTACATGCTCTGTCAACACTGAATTCAATCTGCCAGTGGATATCCTCTTCTTTTCATTTTGCTATACCCCCTGGCGATCTTCAGATTTTCTTGTCTTTGACTAGTCTAAATAACTTTGTGATAGCTGCATAATTTAGAACATTACTGATCAAACATCGGTATTCATAAAATTAACATTAACAAAAAGTGGCTTTTCCTGTGCTGAAAATTCTGTTTATTTTCTGTCAGTTCCAAATAACATCCATGACAACACACTGCACTTCAAGATTATTTGGTATCCTCATTAATATCTTCTAAAAGCTGTAAGATTGATTTTTGACAAGAGAGTCTCCTTTAACCATTTTTTGTCTGCTGCTCTTAAGGACATTTGTTTCACATCAAAGGGAAAATTTTCCTTTACAAAAAAATCCTAATCTGCCATAGAAATATGTATCTCCTAATACTGCTCGCTATTTCCAGTTCCACATTCCACCTATACCTTTAAAGACAGTTATGCTTGTGGCACTCCAATCTTCCAGTCTAACATATTTTTTTTTAAATTAAAGGATGAATATTTCTTCATAGCAGTTCAGCCACCTTCTAGTACATTTCTTCAGAACTCTTCATGGTTTACTGCAATGGGACCCCAAATCGGCCAAAGCCCTGAGGTGGATTTGTTTAGGTTTTTAGCTCTCAAAAAAAGTTCAAAAGGCTGTTAAAAGTCGAGATTAATTCTTTGAACTAAAATCAGGAACTCACTTTTAAAAACAGTGAAAACTGAAAACAAGTAGTTAATACAGAATCGCAATATGGTTTAAAAGCTTTTCTCCCACTGCATGTTGTATCGTTGCAGGTGGGTCTGCGCTTTCAGCTAATTCAGGGACTCTGAGTGGTAGCAAAAGCTCCTGTTTTTTTCACACTATCCTTTCCCTGTGCCTGCTCATCTGGTCCTGAGGAGGAGGAGGAGGAGGTGGAGGAGGAGGAAGAAGAAGACAAGGAGCAGGATGAGGAAGGAGGCTTCCACCTCCTATCAGAGGCTTTTATTTCACCTAATCATTTCTTAAAGGAATATAATATGCAACTGAGAGCACATAAATAAGACAAATACCATCTGTCCCAGCCATGCACAATCAAAGCAAATTGTTGTTTTTACCTTTGTTAAGTTTGTCATAGCATATTCTCTATCCTTGAGATAAAAGCTAAGAGGAGATGGGCCTTGCTTTAATGGAAATGCATTTGATTTGACTGAGCTGCCTAAATAAACCTCAAAGCACAGATATTGGATCATATGGATTTGGAACCACTCTCTGATGTTTTGTTCAGAAGCAATGAAAAATTGGAGTTAAAAGCCACCACACTGAAAAGTTTAATAGTTAATTCCAAATGTATAATAATGTGGCTTGGTATAGCCTACCACATAGTTAAGGTAACTTTCATTGTTTCCCATATGCCATGAACAGAGAATGCACAATTGACAGTCATTAGAATCTTAGAATCATAGAATCGTTTAGGTGGGAAAAGACCTTGAAGATCATCAAGTCCAACCATTAACCTAACACTGCCATTCCACCACATAGAATCATAGGATCAATCACCATTGCCCTGTGGCTGTTGTGTAATAACTTGTTAAGCCACAGTTAGTTGCTTCTGTGTCTTGAAAGAAAAATATTCTATCTGCAGAAGATCTCAGGTGATTAACATATATGTCAAACACAATTAGATATTCAAGTTGTATATGGACCACTGTAGTGCCATTCAGTTAGAAATGAACTTGTAAACTGAAATTAGTAGAAGGAAACCAAGAACTACAGCAATACTGTGAAATCTACTACATAACCGGACTTTTTTTCTGATAAGAAGCAGCAGTTCATCTACAGTACTGAATCCTTTTTCTCATATATCTGAACTGTAGAAAGATTCTAAAATGAAAATAAGACAAAAAGCATTTAAAATAGCTGAAAGTGCTGAGGGAATATTTTTATGGTAAATAACTATGGAATAACTATTGGATAGTCCTGTTTAAAGATGAATATATAAAAGTTGGTCCTCCTTTCTGCAAATATCTGCTTCCTGCATGCAATGTGTTTGCTGACTTAAATGACAAGAATGTTATTACAAGTTATAAACAAGACTTCACACCTTTTTAAACTCTTGTTGATACAGAAGAATTAATGCTAAGAGTGCATTCCTCTCAGTTGAGATCAACATAAACTTTCCCTAAGTTCCAAGTACATAGCCAGTCAAACACAGTTATGCCAGCCTCCTGAGGATAAACTAAAACTGAATTATTCCAGATACATTCCTTCCTTGTTTGTGAAAATAAGAAATTCTTCCTTGCTAATAACAACCTTCAGCCTCCATCTCACCATGTCACCTGAGCTCAAGTATTCTGGTCAATGAGTTGCACAGCAGTGACCCTGTCTTTTTTTGATGGTTGACTGAGCAAAGACAGGATAAACTCATGCTAATATGTCAAGACACAGAGCTAGGTAGTCAGAATAAACCTATACATTCATTTTACTTTTCTCAGTTTCTTTCTATTCCTTTGATGGTTATGTAGTTAAGAACAGACCTACTCCTGAGTGCCTAAAAATATCATATATGTGGGAAGAGAAATAATCAAAAGAAAGACTGTTAAGATTATGCAGTTATCTAGACTAGCCAGTGCACAGTGCAGTTTCTGATTCAAATGGAAAGTTGTTGCTGCTTCCCATTTGAAGCCATGAATATGTAGAGACACAGATTATTTGAATGCATCTTCTTAAAACATTTTCCAGTGGTTTTTTTCACATTTTTCAGAGGACAAACAGATCAGAATGCAGTACAAGATGCCAAGCAGCACGGGCTGTGCTCTTTAAATAAGATCATCTTTTTATTTTGTCATAAAAATGCCATGGAACAAGCATTTCAAGAAAGATACTGTCTTTTCTTTATAAGTTTGTGCAGGCTCCAGCATAATGAAGGACTGACAACTGGAAGAAGCTTTAAGTGGTACTACAGTGCAAACAGTAAACAGCAGAAATAATAAAACACTGGTTAAAAGCTAAAGTCCCCCATATTGCCTACTGAAATGTTTTAAACATTTTAAGACTACCAGAGTTATTTTGGTGAGTTCTTTGACATGCCTTCAATACAAGGCTGTGCCTTACAGGAGCTAGTGTTTACAGTCCTGTCAATCTAAATATGAACTGGACAACAATAATAAATATTTAGTATTGTACAGCAAGTTAGATTTTCAGTAGGAACATTCCAACACTTTCCCTGCTTTATTGTGCCAATCAATTTCTAAATGACCATATTTTCTAGCTAATTCTAATGACTTGCTAAAGAACTGACTGACATGTAGATGCAGGAAGATGCTAACTGAAAACCTGAAAGAATGTATTGACACCCGAAGTTTTGCTATCACACAAACATATATTTGGAATTTGTTCATTACATACAACTAGCTACTACTTTCCTGGCATTATTAAAGTGCAGCTATAGAAAGTTAATTGAATAAGGAAGATACTAAGCAAAGACTAAATGCTTAGAAAATAGCTTTTCAAACTAATTTTTTTTGTTGAATTTTTAGTAAAATGCTGTGATATTGCAGAAGCATTTATGTCTACCACTAAGTGGAATTCAGTTTTTAAGAATCTTCATATTTTATGTTTATTATTTGATTAGATTGCCTGGCAACTCTCCAGCGCTGAAAACAAAGTTTGCAAAATAAATCTGAATAAAATTTTGAAACTGCCACACATAGAAAAAATTAATATAAGAAACCATAGGCTTAAATTATTTTTGGTAACTAATAGATTTTTTTTTAATTGTTGCTAATCTGTCTATGCTGATTATTATCACACCATAACATGTGCAAAGACTGTTCTTTGGGAGAACAGAATATTAAGAGAGATGATGTCAACAAAATTAGGATTTCTCAAGCTATTAAGTACATCATTATTTTCTTCATTAGCATGATTTTCTAAATTACCATTTGAAGCACTGTATATCCTGGAAATGCTCTAACATATATCTACAGTTCATAGTATTGTGATGAGTATTTTCTGAATTTTATGGATAAGTCCGATGTATAAGGCATACTAAGTGTGTTAAACCAGAGAGAAGACAGCCAAGCAACAGAGATAATCTGGAGGAGGAGGAGCAGCCCAATCTGGATTGTGATAGAAACAGCAACTCTATAGTACATACTTGCAATTTCTGATTTTCAATAGATCATAAATTTGATAGAAAAAATTCCTATTTCTTACCTACATTTCCAGTCATTAGGTATGAATTCTGAAAGTCCATCATTCCCATTCCAACAATGTGTATAAAATCTTCAATCACCTGCATTAACTCCACCGAGCCTGGATAGATCTAACAAAGGAAGGTCAAACATGCCATTAACTATAATATCAAAATCTCTACAGCAACAAACGCAAATAAAATCTAAATGTCATCAAATGAAATGTGAGACTTAAAAGTCAAACTGCTCTTCCCATGTTTCAACACCGAGTATTTTCTGTCACTGTAAAGCAACCATTTTTTATTAGATATTCATGTGAACAGACACTACTTCCTATAAAGCTACACGAAATCAGCTTTGCAGCGGAACTGTGGAATGTTTGCTCTAAGTCACTGCAGTTATCAAAAGAATTTTTACTGGCCATTACTTTTTGTTCATGGTTAAAGTATTTAATATTCCAGAATAACTCTGATTAAAATATTATTCCTTCCTCTGGAAGATATCTTCAACAACTTCAGAACTATTGACATAAACAGCTGAATGCAAATCTTATCATGGCCTCTGCAGCATGATAATACTTTGCTGGTTTAATCAATAAGTAATATGAACTGTTACTGGTAATACTGTTTTCATTGCTGATGTGGAGTAGTAAAATCATAGAATAGCTGAGGTTGGAAGGGGCCTCTGGAGATCATCTAGTTCAACCCCCTGCGCAGAGGAAGATCAGCTCCAGCAAGTTGCTCAAGACCACATCCAGTTGGATTTTGAACATCTCCCAGGATGGAGATCCCATTTCATCCTCTTCTTGCATGTCAGATGCTCCAGTCCCCTAAGCACCTTCATGGCTCTTCACTGGGTTCATTCCATTATGTCCATGTATTGTACCTGGACAATGTACAATAGCCCAGAACTGGACACAAAAACCTAATAGAAATTGCAGTAGTCTTTGCATTGCTAGTCTCTCAATATGACTTTCAAAATGGTAAGGACTAACGCATTTCCAAGAAATATAATTTATTTGCAAATTTGTAAGCTACTATGAACACAAAATCATTAAAAATTGTTATATTCAGCAATAATGATACATCATCAAAACTGCATTAAAGGTCAAAACAGTTATTAGTAAGCTTAAAAATTCTGCTCGTATCACATACATAAAAAATCTTTCTTGGTTGTTATGGCCTTTTATGAACAGGACGATTTTCAGCAATACAATATTTTGCAATAGAAAAAGAATGGATGACCTGTTCACAATGCTTTTTTCTTCATATCAGTGAGATGTCCAAATTTCATTTTATGAGCAGCATTCAACCCATTCTTTCCACTACTGGAACTACAGACTCTAAAAAATGCCTATAGAGACTATGAATTCCACCATGCTGTGCTGCATTTTATCTTGCTTTATCCATCTAGATCCATAGCTGCTCGGTTGTGGACAGAGAATTTCACCATGTGCTTTGTTTTCTACATGGATCTTCTTATAAAAGGCAGGAGAGCAATACCACTTCTATGAAAAATTTTTTGTGACATTTATGACCTTAACAGGTTGCAAATGCTGCTTCAGGTGAAGGAGGCTTAACTTCCATTTTCCTAATGATGAGCTGCTGAGGTAGTAAGCGTGGTGTTTGCATCCATCTCATTCATAGCACACACTTACAGATTATATACTAAGGATAAATTTCAACGAAAATATTTTTTCACCCTAATTCCTACACATAAAATTTTATAGTAATAACTTTGGCAGAAACTCTTGAAGTCAGAGAGGTACTGTTCATCTTTATATATCTGAAGTACTGGTTAATCAATAGGATGCCAGCAGATGGTGATGAAGAATATGCAGAATAGCTCCTGTGTTTTGAAACACCAGCATAAACTTATGCATTGTGGACTTGAAGTGGTTTCCTGTGTGCAGTGCTTTACATCAGCTTTTAACAAAAGACAAGTATTAAAGTGAGTGCTTATCTGAGTACTATATAACCTGTAATTAATGGCATCAACTGCTGGCATTTAATCTAAAAGAAAGGATGTGCTGAGGCATTGCAGCTGTATACTTGATAGAAAGTCAGCAATTTGCTAACAGTGAGTAAGATTTTCTTTCCAGCAAAGAATCCAGAAAACAAACTAAGAGATCTATGTTAACAGTAGCTGTGAAGTTCAAGAAAACCATGCAAGCTGGCAAAAAATCGGTTAGGCTGCCCCTTGGTTTGCAAGGTTTCATTACAAATAAAAAGTCAGCTGAATGGCTGAATCAGAAAGAGAATCACCCTTACTCCTTTTTAATGAGTCAATAATGTTTGCACTAGATTGTATTCACAGCACATGACTTACGCACATTATTTTCAAGTTCAATTCCTACCTTGATTTTGACATAAAACCTACAAAAGTCTTCGCACAGGATTCAGTAATTTCAAATAGTATTGTATCCAATTCTATTTAACCATAACTTTTCAGTGTTTTATCCAAAATATGATAGAAAATAATATTTTGTATAGGAAAGCTTTTTTTTATTTTTGAATGTTTAAAGAAAAAAAGAATCTTAGGAGTCCTTAGGAGTCTAGCTCACCCTTCTTAGCTGGTATAAAGAGTTACTTGGTTCAACAGTTTCTTTGAGACTGCTTGTGTAACTGCCCAAGAGAAATAACAACACCATGGGTATGGTTTCTTTGGGTGCCACAGCTCAGGAATCTAAGATTTAGTGAATTCCCTAGCTTTTTCACCAGCTGGCTCCACTACTCCTGCATTCAGCTTGCCTTGCTGCTTGCTTGAGCTCTTGCCTGCCTACCAGTGCTGTACACAGGTCTGCAAGACAATGAACTAACAGGCAGAGAGAAGGAGCTATGGAAAAGTAGAAATAACTTCTCTCCTCTCTCTTTTTCAACACCATTTCTACCAGTAGCAATGAGGGGAGGGAACTGGAGATTTGTTGTTCCCTCTTTTACCTCCACAGTCTCACCATTTCCTCTTAGGTGCTGTCATGCCCTGATCTTTGTGGGACAGGTGGTGGACATGGCATGGGTAAGCAGGCAGAGTGGAGGCAGACGACAAGGCTGATAACATAAGGAGTGGTATCCTGTCTGTTCATTAGCAGGGCTGGAATAGTTCCTTAATATTACTTCCCTAATCTTGGTGCTGTTTATGGAAACTGCCCACGTGCATGTGATTTTGCTGCTTCCATCCACCACCAGTGAGGAAAATGACACACTTTGTCTATTTTTGTACACAGAGGAACAGAAAAACAACAACAAAAAAATTAGGATTCTTGTCTAAATTACAATGGTCAGCTGCAGCATCATATGTTTACTGCAACGTTTGAATTGGTAGTGAAAAGTCCTGATCTTCCCTTTCTTAGTCATATTATAAATATAAACTACTGAAAATGAAGTTAAATATCTTCAAAGACCTTCAAACACCTAGTGTTTTATTAAGAACTACATTAAAAGTGAACAAATTTCAAGTATCTGTATAACACAGTGGCAATGACCATACAAGAGCAGACCAAAGATCTATGTAAGCCATTTTCATGCCTTTGACAGTGGCAAATAGCAGATGTCTAAGGAACCGTATAAAGGGGCATGCACATAATGATACTTCTTTCAGAATTCTTGCCCAGCCTTTAGAACTTTTTTTGCCAAAGGATTTCCTTAAGCAAAAATGTGATCTTTCCATGAACAGTCCTGTAGTGACTTTTCTTTCATTAATTTGTTTACTTTTTAACCTGTATATTTTCAGTGGCAAGAAGTTCTGCAACCTGATTTTCTGTAGAAAAAGTATCTCTAGTATTCATTCTGAATCTGCCACTATTTGATGTCCTTTAGGTATTTTACAAGAAGCACAAGTGAATAGATTAATCATTCCTGCATCACATTCTCCAATCCACTCCTGATTTTAAAAGCTTCTGTTGCACCTAAGTGCAGTTGATTCTTTTTCATACTGAAATATCTTGCTTTGTTAATTATTCTTCATATAGAAATGTTTCCCTACCTTTACCTCCATATTTTTTTCTCTCTCTATAATTATCTGTTCATCCCTATTGTCACTGTTATTTGTGTATCTGAATAAATTTGACAGTTCTATGGTCATGTTCATGAACACAGATATATTAACATTGCTCAATAATATCCTTGGTATAAGCATTTAGGAAATACTTACATCCAAGCAAAAAAATTATTTTAATTTTAATTATTTTAATTATAAACTCTTTTATTGTAAGTTAATGATTTTTGTTAGACTTTACTATTTTATAAAGTGTTATCATATTTAACTTAGTCCTGAAATTTGTCAGTCTTAAGAATCACAACTGTTCTCCTAAATACAACGTTTTAAAAAAGGTCTACTCTTTAAATTTCTGTAAGTCATTTTGTGGCGCCATATGAGTTCTTTAGGTGAGTTCTGATGTGCTCTGTTTAATAAAAGCATCATTGCAGCTAGCCTTTAGTAGCATTTTTCAGCTTTCTCATGTATTTCTTTACAATGTCAAAAGGAAAGACATGGAATGCAATGAAAATCTCTTCATCTAGAGAAGAAATTGTATTCTCAATATAGTTTTAATCTAAGGAATTAGACAAAGGGGCCTGGAATTCCTCCTTTTCGAAAAGGATCAGTTATTTCCAAAACATTGTCTCTCTTAGGATTTCCTTTCACCTACAGCAGGGTGTATGTTTAACCTGATTTTTGAAACCATGCATTCCACTTTGTTATGACTTACTGAAATAATGTGCGGCTTCTGATACAGTGAATGTCATAATGTGCATAGTTCCCAATTTTTTTAATTTATTAATTACAACATGCAAATCTTACCTGTTGTGCATCTTCCCATTTCTCTTTGTTTTCTTCATCTAAGAGATTACTAATGATTTGAAAGAAGTTCTGAAAAATCAATTAAATAAAAGACAAAGTAAAATGACTTCTAATTACATAAACAGTCAATTCTTTAAACTGACATTAAGAAAGTTTTCCTTTCTCTATTACAGATGCAGTTCTGCAGCCTATATTCTGTCAGTGGAAGAGATGACATAAAAAAATAATATATTAGAGTAATACAAGGGCACATATATTTTATGGGTAATTGTTCATTTCTGGCCATATAATCAGGTTCCATACTACTGCTTCATATAAAATAAGAACCATTTTAAACTTGCTAAACTTCTAAATGTGACAGCATTTTAAATTGCTTTCATTCTAGAAAACAGACAACTGTATATTTTGCAAATAAACAAAGTACACTAGGAAAACACCAGGCCATTAATTTCTATTCAAAACATTAAATTGATCCTTAATGATCATATATAGGGCATAAAATGGTATTTCATCGGTAAATGCTTTGTGAAACCAGGTGCCTTTTACTTTAAAAAAGTTACATTTTCCTCTGTCCTTCTATTAATTTCAACAGCAAATGAATAATTAATTTCTGGGGTTTTAACCTTAAACTGTTAATTTCTTTATCTGATTCTCCTATTCATTTAACTATAAGAAACAAACCAAACCAAACCAAAACAAACACACACACCCCCCCACACACCCCACCAAATAAAAGCCAGGGCTTTTAAATTAGCTTTTAAATCACACATTTTAAATTAGATTTTAAATCACACATTTTAAAAATCACTCTTCCAAGTGTTTGGGGAGAACTTTCTAATTTTGTCTGCTGTCTCTGCCAATTTGTATTCCTAACTTCTTCATCTTTAAGAGCTAAGAATTTGAGCAGAGTCTGTTCTCAGCTCTCTATCACTTTTTGTGCAGAATGTCAATTTTGTCTACAGCCTGCCAATTATAATTTATCTGTTCCTTCATAAAAGATACATGTACTTTCCACTGACCTTAGCTGAAGAGTGCAGTTAAGATCCTTGCAAACTCTAAAAAATCTTTAAGTGGAATACCAACCATAGGACCCTATTGGAACTCGGATCAATGGTCATTCCCTCACCTGCACTTACTTTTTATCCATTTTGGGGGGATAAATAGGGCTTAGATAAGATTTAAGTAAGAAGTAACTTTAACCCTCTATTAATGAAAGTACAAAGCATTCAACTGCACAGTGACTGAAATGAGAGCAGAAATAAGTTCCAATCTTAGTATACTATAGATACTGTGGTTGTGCTTGAAAATACTTTCATTTCAAAATATGAGATATCACAGACATTTTAGGTGTCTCACAACCATATAAGTAAAATATTGTAGGATACAAAATTGAATAAAACATGTGAAAACTATTTTCACATGAAAACTTTTTACATAAAAACATTTTTACCAGTTTAATCTAGTCCTAATACCAACTACTTGACAAGCAAGAGGATCCATCTTTGCCTCATCATTAGGAAGTTAGTTATACTAACTGCAAAATTTACACAGATAAAAGTTGCTTTATCTTGGCAAATTTGATATAGAGTTGACTGACACTTTGGTAAACTTGGGCAAAATATTAATGTACATTAATGAGGGCACAATTCTTCTCTCACTGAATTCAGCAGCAAAATATCCGTAAGCTTCAGTAACACAAAACTTCATAAAAAGAAACAAAATGGCTCAGCAAGCTCCTGTGAAAATGGTAAAGTATGCATTGGGACCAGATGATGGGGATTAAGGACAGGACATAAAATAAAAATGTTCTTATGGTTTGATCCAATTTACAGTGATACAGAAAGAAAATTTCCAGTAAAGCTGAAGATAAGAGGAAAATGTAGCTGCATATTGCTTATATACCAAGGATACATTTCATCTCTTTCAGGTATGCAGTTACAAAATAAAGCAAAATGTGAAGAGTGATATATAGTATTCATTACAAAGGATTTTCAAGTTAAACCAGGCTGGTAAATCATAATTGTTAAACGCAACTTCAGCTAGGAAAAATGTACAATTTTATTGGTCCCCCAAATAAAGTAAACTATACTGGCCAAAGTATTTTCATGGCACTATAACCACGTCTACTCTAGGACATTATGATTCTGGCAGAGAGTTCTAGTAGGAAGAGTCGGCCTTAGGGGGATTTTGCCTGAGAAAAACACTTTTTAAAGCATCATAGTTCTGTACTCTCCCAGTGTAATACTGTGGAGATGCAGTGGACAGAAATTTTAGCTAACTTTAACATGTTAAGGTGCCAGTAGCAGTCTAGCTGCAGCAGCATGGAGCTCAGTGTGGGATAATTTATCATACTAAGGAGCTGTTTCAAAGCTAGTTTTACACTACATTGCAGGCGCTGATTCCCCTGCAGAAACAGTCTAAACCTTAATTGTAGAAGTATCCATGTCCGTGTAATGAGATCTATCTGAGAGTAGCCTAGATTGCCTGAAAAACACTCAGGAGTTATAAATGTTTCTTGCAGATGATAAATTACATGGGTTTGCTAATAATGCTAAGTGTTCATTCAATTTTGTTTATTTTAACTAAATACCAATAAGTAACATAAATATATGTTAAAAAGCTTATAAATAATTCTAGACTCAAGCAAAAACAAAAGATGAGCAATAACTGATTTAATATATACTTTCTACTTGCCAATAAACCATAAATTATGTATATGCACCTAATGACATGAATATCTTGCTTCTTGAGATCTTTTTTTTCCCTTTTTCTATCCCTGGTTGATATTTACAGTAGCAGTGGAGGCTGAGATGTATGAAGATTTTTCAGTCAGCAACACCAGTGCTTTGTGAATTAAACAGAGAGACGATTAAATGGCTTTGCTGCTTTAATAATGAGCAGCTATCATATGCACTCCAAAAATGTGACAAGGGAACAGGGGTTAAAAAGTCTTTCACCTACTTTGACTATTCTCTTGTTCATTGCATTAATGCTGCAAGAAACAACATTGCTCTTTAATAAAAAGATTGACAGGTATGAAAGCTAAATTTTAGAAGTATTATGGATGTGATCTGATGGTATTACTGCAGTAAACACTATAGAATCAAGCTCCTTCCTTTCATGGCAGGGCTTACCTATTACTGAACTGGCCACTATAGAAAATGTTGTGACAGTCAGAGCCAAATTTTGAAGCCCTTTATTCTTGCCCAGGCGTTTTTGAGGATAATGCCAGTTACAGTCAGGAATGGACTGTTATGTTTTCCTAATTTAATTTCCTTCCTTTCAATCTTTTTCTTCTGTAATACAATATCTGCAGTTCTCTGTTCCAGTCCAAATTCTTTGACCCTCTCTGCAGGCATAAAGCTGTCATAAATCCTTTTATACAGCTAGAGAAGAATTCCTCCCTAGGAGGAATTCATGGATAGCCTTAAGTCACCTCCACTTTTGGACTTCAACATAGGGAGTATGTGTGTGGGAGGCGGAAGGTTGGGGGAAAAAAGCATTGGGCAATCCTATTAATCCCTGACTGGCAGCGATGGTCCCTGTGGCTAATATAAATGGGATTATACTGCTCTAACTTCTTTAGAGAGAAACCTTGTTTCCTGTTGCCACTGTATCAGGGGATAGTACAACTCACTTTGCCATCCTGTCCTGAGATGTAGCTCCTTTCCTGCCATCCTGTCCTTAGAAGGTAGTTCAAGCACTCTTAGACCAGTTCTGGAAAGTGTTCTAAAATGTTGCTTATTTAAAATTTTATCTGCCAGGTAGAATCCTTCTTACACAAATAATAACACAGTGGCCATCTCATAGCCTCAGTGTACCTACACAGTGTATTTTAAAGTAATTTCCATATTAAGAGAAAGACCTTGCTTGTAGAATAATTGCATGATGCTTGTTTTCTGCTATTTCTGCTACTATACTGCTGTTTTCAGTCACTGATGCAGGATGACTTCCATATTGTTTAACTGTACATGGTTCTTTTTCATCCTGATGCTAGATATGTAATGTATACATAAATATTGTTGCAAAAAAGATTAAAATATGCAAAAAGAAAAACAGTCATAATAATTAACTTAGCACTAGACATGCATACTTTAGAAGTTTTATTTTGCTCTTGGTATCTGCCTAAACAAGCGGCATTTTCTATGCCACACATGAGGCAGTGGCATCTTCATTTTGATTAATTAGCCTGAAATTTTCAAATTTGATCTCACTTTTCTGTTCATTCTTTTTGCTACAGAGTCTCTGAATCACATCTATTGCACTATTTAAGAATATTAATACTGGATATTAGCCAGAGTTTATAGGCAGCTAAGGGACTATCCAGATGGATGGAATGTATAAGAAACAAATGTACTCAGACATATACACTTTTCCTTTCTCAGTTTTAATGAAAGTGGAAATGTTGTATTTCTATAGAACTTAAAAAATACTATTACCCATAATTCATAAGCTACTTTTCTGGCATCATGCAAAATGATAAATTATGACTTTCAATGATTTTAAACCTCACTCATGCTTTTCTGAGAATTTCTTTAAAACAAAACCCCAACACCTAAGAAATTATACTCTTTATCTAGTGCAAGAAATAGAATGGAATTAGAACATCACACAGAGCTTCCTCAGAAAGAAGAATCTTGGTACTTCTGTTCAAATTAGTTTCATTTTCACCATTTTGTCACTTTAAAGATGGACTAGAAAGTATGAAAATATGTGATAGTGAAAATAAAAATTAAATACAATCCTCGAGTATGGTAGCATATGACATATGTTTACGTATGGGAAAATCCTGGTTTCTCAGAAATTGACAGTAAAATTTAAACAATGTTACTGAACCAGGATTTCATTTTTTATCATGAGAAGTCAGTAAAAGGAACATTGCTTACTATAAACCCTTTGCAAAACATATGCTTAATTCTGATTTTGCTTAATTTCCTGAACACTATGCATTGGGTTTTGGATTTTACCTTGGCTTGCAATTTGTTAAGCTTTATTTTGAATTTCAGTGCTTTTTTTTTCATCTGGGATTTAAGAGCTCTTGGTATTTAGGTATCTAAATCCTGAAATATGGTTATTTCTTAGATTTGAGAAATCCTTCTTTATTTCCTTATCAATATGGCCTATAAGGTTTTGCCTTTTCTCATTTATTCACTTTGAAATGATTAACCAGAAATTATTAAAATAGTCCTAATCATTTTGCCAAGCTCTGCCAGAATACTATTATGAATTTGGGAAACAGCTCTACATTGCTGAAGTGAACAGAACTTTTGGCACTGTCATTAGTGGGAAAAGAATCAAATTCACTCTACTGTATGTAAACTGCAAATGACCCAATCTGCTAAGCCCATGAACAAAATCACTTGTGCCAAGCAGTTTCTCAAGACTGGTTCTACCAAAGTCTTCTGTAGTCACATTTGGCTATCAGATTGTTGAACGCATGAAAAGTTTTCAGCAAATAACACCCTGCTTAATAGCAAAACTTAATGAAAGTAGGAAAAGTTATTGACTCTCATTCAATAAAAAAAAAAGAAAAAAAAAAAAGATTGTCCAGCCAATTTTTGAAAAGCACTGCTCAAAAAATACTTTCTGCTAGCTGGCTACAGGCCAACACAAGAAATATTGGTTTTATTATGGAAGTTCATTTTTCTTTGTGCACAGAAAAACAAGAAAACTGAAAATATAATAGCAAGCTCTTGAAAACTTAACTCTGGAAAAATTATCTTTTCCAAGATACTTCCATTAACCTGCATGCATACATTCCAAAGTGTATTTATAATCTATGCTTACCTTTACACAAACAAATACGTACACATGACCTGCATTAATAACTTCATTTGTAATTTATGAATGATTGTGAAACTCTCTTTTTCATAAATAATATATACATCTACCTTCTTACTATTCTTTTTCAGTACAACTACAGTCTTTTAAAAGTGTCTAAAATTCTCATATATAGATGAAACCAATATTCTCATATAGAAGTACTGTGAAATATTTATTTTCATGAACATTACACAATGAGTTCTGCAGCCCATTATGTAGAAATAATTACAGTGGTTTTTAGCTCTGACAGTATTTTATTTCACCTCTTGCACAAGAAGAGTTAATCTAACACGTGAAATAGAAAATTCATATCAAATGTACTATCCACCACTCCTGTGCACTTTTAATGAGCTTTATTTATTTGAAATGAAGAAGCAATGCCAGAATTACATAACTAAACACTATGGATAGGTTTTGAACTGAAATTAACTAGAATAAACAACACTAGTGAATTGCTTAGGGAAAAAAAAATATATCAACACATCCCGATCAATCAAACCAAACCTTGAAAGAGACTGAAATAAATGTTACAAACAAAGAATTTTACTTTTTCACTTGCTGCATTTTTCTGGCTATTTGTCTTATTAAATGTAGCTAAGTCTTTTCCTATTTTACACTTGTACCTTAGTTTTATGTGAACAATGTTTATGTCTATCATTCAGAAAACTCAGTTTCCTCAGTGGGTAAAATAGGTGACATGCAGTATACTGACATAAACTCAATCAATTGAAATATTACCCTTACAATGTTTCTCTTACCTGCACCCCATCAGAAGCAGGGATATAACTGGCTCTTTTAAATGTGTCTGTAACATTTCTGAGAATTTCCACGGAAATCAGAAGGTCCCCTGCATAAAAATTTTTCCTCTGAGTTAAATCCAATAGTGTCTTGGTTACTTGGGACATGCCATCACCAGCCAACATCCTCTGTCCCTTGGCGAGGTGCTCTTTAATCTGTACCAGAAGAACAAAATATATATCAGAACCTACTTTACTGAGGAAAAGGTATGATAAATTCTAAACACAGCCAAAAATATTAAATATTAAAGCTATTATAATAGTAAATACTAAAGCCATTATAATAAAGTTCATCCTGTTAAAGAGAAGACAAAATAGTAGACTATGATAACTATTACTATGTTTATCAGAGAATCATGGATTTTATACTGAAAGATTCTGAAGTTTGTCATGTTTCACACATTCGCTTCTCTTTGGACACCAATAATTTCTCAATATTCATATTCTCAAAGGAACTCCATGGGCTGGAGTGGGTGGCTTTAATCTACTGCCACGATGTAGCAAGGAACTGTTCTTCCTCAGAGGAACAGCTGTACAATCACAGTTGCCACTCATTAAACAACTAAGAGCTCTAAAAGGGGTAAATGCTAAGGCAGTCCTTGTTATAATCTAGTTTACTATAGGAAAGTATATTCTTCACCTCTGCCAGCCCAGCTTGGCTAGTTAACACAAGAGTGATGGTTTAGGTGGAAGCTGATTATGGTGCTCTCTTCTGTAGCATTGACAACACAAAGGTGCTAGCTTGGAACTATCCAGTTTGTTTTTTCAAGAAATGTGAATTAAATTATTAATTGCTCCTGTGTATCAGCCAAGAGAGCATACTTCAGTGGTAGCTCTCCCAGCAGATCTGTACAGGGCTAGTGATAAAGGTAATCCAAAATGCATATGCTGGTAGAAGAATCCTCCTGATAAAAACCTGAACTTGTGGATCTGATTAATTCTTAAAGCTGACTCAGCATCCCAGGAAGATGCATAGTGTATCACAAAGATGACTGTCATGGTTTAACCTGGCTGGCAACTCAGC